ACCCAGTAGAACAAAGGAAATGCTCGAGGAGGCAAAATTGTGCCAAGTCAATAGTTAGGCGCAAACGGAATAGTCAAAGTGGCCAACAGACGGCCGGGCAGCAGGATTAAGGCGCAACTCAGTGGCAAAATGAGGCTGTTTGAGCACATTTCGTTTCGTTGGAAGGGGCGAATGGAAAAGGTTCGTAAGGTGCCCCTCCTAGAAGCCGGACTGCCTTGGAGTTCTGACTGCGTACTCGTGAAGGGTCTGAAGACGGTCTGCTGGTAATGCTCATTCAGCTTCTGCAGAGGCCAAGTTACGAATCCCTCTCACTCGCATCTTCGAAAGAAATGAAGGGCACTTCAACATTACAAGAATGACGTCTTCTCATTACAATACCGGTATCTCAACAACTGGACCGAGAGGATCTGCGGTAAGCATCAAGACATTCTGGGTTTGTTCACCTTCCAACAAAACCGGAGTATCCGCTATTGGCTCAATCCAGGCCCATTAGCAGAAACAAAATGAAGATAGTCAAATAAGAGGTCGCCCTAAATTAATTAAGGAACTAAAGGGCACACATAAAGACCAAGACGGTGTGGCTTTCTGTTTGGTCGCAGTCTCTTCAGCTTTATAGTGTCGATTCGATCTCATTTTCGCAACTTAGTCGAAGCGTCAGGGAGACCTTGTGGAACGTACCTATTACCGCGTCCTATGTTGTTATATTCGTGAGTTACAGCATCGGACCATTGACTTGGTACATTCTCAAACGTTCCGCCAGCATTGTCAGTGAGAAGCGCCTTCGTTAGCGGAAAGTTAAAATGTACCACTTGCCACTTTGACCAGTTGTGCTGACGATGGTGCATCTCAGTGAAGATGCCGGCGAAACGTTCGGTAATGTGCCAAGTCAATGGTCCGAAAACCGAAATCACGAATACTATGGCAGAGGACATAGGACTAGGTACATTCTTCTAAGTCTCCCGGACGCTCCGACCAAGTCGGAAAAACAAAAGAATTAAAGTTAAATCTTTCCAAAAATAAATGAATGGGCCTGACAATTACATCAAAGCCTAATATACCTTGCCTCTCAAAAGGGTCCATCCAAATTGGAGTGGACTGCAGTTCCGACCTCGCGCTACCAACAAGTTTCGGAACAACAACTCGGGTAACCAAGTTCCCACTTAAAAGTTACTGTGATTGTCTCAAAGCGCACTCACTCGGAATATAAAGTTACTTACTCGTGTTTACACATTGGGCTAGGGTCCCACCGAGAGGCGACTTTACGTTAGCATACTTGGCGACAATTTCATCTGTCAAGTGTTTTTTCGTGAAGGATTTATTGGCATCACAAGAGCGGATGAGCTTCTGCAGCTCAGCTAAAGGTTTAACATCCATGTTGATAAGGCAAGAAAGTCCAAGGCGGCGGACCGGTTGAGAGAAGGGACCGATTGTGTTTTGAAGAGGTATGCAGGAGGACGGCCAGCCGTATTTAAAGCAGAGGAAAATCGATACAGGCACTTGCTGACGGAAAAGCTACCCTCTGGCGAGTTGGCTGTAGCCAATCACGAGAGCGTGTGGAGCGGCCAGATAAGTCAGTGGAAAGATGCCGTCGCGCCTGCAGATCCAGTGTCTGTCTGTCAGTCATTCCGACCGAGTGCAAGCTCACACGCTCAGGCACCACGACTAGGTGGAACCGCAAGCAAGAGCATACAGGGACAAGACAACTTTGACAAAACATCACTCCAATTCCTCTCTATCGTTGCCTATAGTTTTAGCATCTCCAGCATTCGGCTTGGCTGTTGTGCCGATCATGAACTGTTGGTGTGTGTTTGACCAAAAATGCAAAACGTGGCATTAACTAGTCACGCGCTGATTGGTTGAAATGAGGCAATCAATCGGTTCGAACCTCCTTGTCGGTTGGTTGGTTGAGTCGTTTTCCCACCAGATTGGAGCGTAGACAACAATGCCTCTGTGTGATTGGCTGTTTTGATCGGTCACTGGTATGCCCCACTAGCTGTCGCTTCGAGTTTACATTCACTTATTTTCGGTTTGTCCCAATCTGGGATTCGCTTCAATCTTCCCTTACTTGCTTGATGCTAGCATAACTTTGTTGTTCGTTGAGCTTACTTCCTCCAGAAGACGATGGCGGGTTCCTCTTGACCAGCTGTCCATTGGCTTTACTTCGATATTATTGTTGACGCTGGTTTCGATGGAAACATGCTAAACTTTCGTCCGTCTTGTGACGGCCATCATTAGAGCAGGGTATCATCCTTACAATCATATTCAAGCGAATGAGCCAATAAACTCGTTAGCTTGAAACACACATGAAACAGGAGATTGTTTAAAGCTCAACATGTTTTCACATATGCCTTGATTGTTTGTTGAAAAGGCGGTTGGAAGGTATTGACAAATTGGCCCCAAAGAACACTGAAAGGAGCCAATTCTCTTGGGGATGTGACTGATAGATTGTGCGAAAGCGACTTTGGTACACCATTCTGCGACGCCGGTCTATCCGTACTAAGCTTTGGCCCATCATTTGATGGACGTTTGGATAAATTCACTAAAAATTCTTTTGGGGTTTAATGTTTTTGGCGGCTTTTCGTAAATGATCCTTTCTGGCTCTGATCGTGTCCGTCACGCAAAGCAGACGGCCTTTTTTGCCCAATTCAATAATCGTAAGCCAAGACAATCCTCGTCCGGTGTCCGGTAAGGCCAATTTGCAGATCCCCTTCAACCGCCTTTTTCAAACGATACGAAGGATACACCAGCATTCATCCAGGCCCTTGTTCGACTTCATTTTGAAGTGCTGAGGCGGAATCGCGTACTCATGGCCTCGTGATAAAGTCGTGGCCGTAGCAACGACACGTTCATGGATGCCCATCGAAGCTACTCATGTCTGCACGAATGCAATTTTTGACGGTGGCCGGGTGCAATATTATATTGCCCCTAGAAGTGGTTTAGCTTCGTTTGCGCAACTTAGTCGCGTTGTCCAAGAGACAAAGATGAGCATTTCTAATGAAAGTATGTGCTGGGGAGATTCGTGCAGGTCAAGCCCAACGGATTTCTTTTTGCCAGTTGTCATTTGGTTTAACTAAATCATTTTGTTTTACGTTGTCTCCAAGGCGATCTTTTTCGATTCCGGTGAAGATGTGATAAGCTTTCTTTCCTCATACGATGGACTCCAGGGCATGCTGCTGTTCTTAGAAACATATTCAAGAGTATAGGAAAAAGCTTAATGGTTTTCTTGGACTCGTTAACTTGAATATGGTTGTAACAATGATACCATGTTCTTATGATGCCGATCATATGGCAAGTGAAAGCTTAGCATGTTTTCATCGGAATCGAAGGTGATTGCCTCCGGGTTAGTGTCATCCGAGAGCTGCCCAAGTTGAATCCGAGACCGTTTCAAGGTGGGATCTACCTTCGAATTTCTTCATTTCACAGTTTCATTAAAAATTAAAATGAGTCAAACAATTGTAAACAACTGTTTAATCTATAAGTAGGTTTTCGAGACTAGTAAGAGATTATTTAGGTATGAAGTCTATTCATAATTTCATTTAAGGTGATAATGGGACTAGTGGTCGAAATTTTTTCATCGATATGAGTAGAACTATTGAATTTCACAAAGCATTTCTTCCACTAAAGTTACTTTCATCCAGGATGGAATGCAATTTCTACCTCCCCTGAGTCGCATCAGCCCCCTTAGCGGAACTCAAACCGGATAGTGCAGGCTATAATCTCATCACCTTGAACACAGAACCGGTGTGAATTTAAATTTTTCCCATATCATATTCTGTGATGGGCTTGTAAGTTTTGCGAAGTTATATTAGATATAGCAATCGACTACGTTACTTATGTTTAGTTTATAAGTAGTTTTTTGAGACTTCTAATAGGTTATTTATATAAGGAACATACTTACTATATAAATAACCTACTAATAAGCGAAACATAAGTAACGTAGGCGACTGCTTTAGGAAATATGATTTTGCTCCTTCGGCGGGAAAAATGCCCGGCCTTTCTTGACATTCACGTATGTCGTATGACCCAAGGACACTCGTGCTAATGTGGCGTATGGGTTAATGTGGCGAGATCATACGTTGCAGTGTCATGGTTCGAGTCCCGTTTGGGGCGTCGATAAGACCTAGAGGA